TGGATATCAACAGCCTCTTCCGAACAACTAGATGTATGAGAACTCATCCCTGCATGCTTTGAATACAACAAAGAGCGAGTGCAACTTAAAAGTAGATTGAGAGAAGGTCTACGCAACGACCGCGAACAGTGGTGGGCAGCGAAGGCTAAAGAGATGGAGAAGACAGCAGTGATTGGTAACAGTAGACAGTTAATTAGACTTCGGGGAAAAGGTCAACAACGGTTAGTGAGACTATAGCGAAGGATGTGTCTGCAGTTTACTCGCAGAGGAGACAACTGGAACCATGGGCAGAACACCTCAAGGAGCAGTTTCACTGGCTTCCAGCTACCATTGCGTTGCCCGTTCTCTAGTCGGATCCTGAATGAAACATTAAGAAAGGCCCCCGAACACTTGCAGAAGTCGAGAAAGTGGTAGATAACGTGAAACGAGGAAGGGCAGCAGGACCAGACGCACTAACTCCTCAGGTGTACAAAGATGGTGGTAAGATGCTCTTGGTCAGGTTGACGGAAGTGTTAACTAGAAAACCAGGCAGGCTTTAGACCCAGACGTGGGTGTATCCACCAAATATTCACACTCTGCCAGAGGCAGGCTTACCGATGCCCGACGGTAGCTGTATTTCTCTACCTGAAGGCGGGATTCGACTCCGTTGATCCAGAAGCCTCTTCGCAATGTCTCTTACTGAAAGGCTTGCCGAGTAAGTGCACCACCTTAGTGTAGGCTTTTTATTCGAAAACTTGTGGGAGTGTTTGAGCCTATGGTGAGATGTCCATGCAACTATGCTCATCGAGTGGTGTTCGTTAACGTTGCCCACTCTCTCCATTCCGAATCAATTTTTCCATAGATATTCTTATGCAGGTCTCCCTCTCGTCACTTGACTACACAGAGGTTGACGTGATCACGGGAGAATTTTCGCTACACCTAGAATATGCAGATGACATAGTCTTGTTAGGTGAAGACGCAGAGTGACAAGATGCAGAGTCTTCTGAACACACTGAGTGGCAGGTTGAGAATGTTTGGGATGCGTTCCTCACCACTGAAATGCAAACTGTTGCACCAGGATTGGTCTTCAATGGTGCCCCACCGTGGCTAACAATAGAGAGTCAGTGTAGTGATTCAGTGTGTTGACGACTTCACTTACCTTGGAAGTGCAGTGGGATCAGACCTGATGGTTGCTCACTGGCTGATGAAATGTCTACGAATACAAGAGGCTCGACTAGCTTTCGCCAACTTACACCACCTGTGGCTTCACCGTGATATTCGATTGTCTATTAAGGGTCTTGTTTACTACACAACAGTTCGCTCTGTTCTACTGTATGTCTATGAAACATGAACATTGAAGGTGGAAGACATGAGAATACTTCAGGTGTTCGACAACCATTGCCTTCGTAGTGGACGCTGTATTCCATGGTGTCACCACGTGAGTGAGCAACGCACAAGTCAGAGGTAGAGTTTTGGGGAGAAGAGGTAGATCAGTTGACACAGTTGTGAATCTTCATCAAGTGAGATGGTTGGTTGCGTGGGACATGTGTTACGTATCTCCAGTCTCCGATTGCTTCGTCACACAATGTTGGCCCGAGTAGGTTCAGGCTGGGAAAATGCTGGTGGCGACCAGAATAAAACACAGCATCAATGTATAAAGTATTTGACTGTTGGATTTAACCATGTTGGGCGATGTAGACTAGCTGGTTGGGGTCGGTGGGACAAGATACACCAGTGGTTGAAGATTATAGGTGATCACATTACTCAGAACCGATGTCAGTGGTGCAGATGTATACAAACATTATCCTCATCTTAACTGAGCCATACTGAATCGCACCATTTTTTCATTCTTCCCTTCTCTTTTAGTACTTTATATTTCTTTTGATTGTATCCCATTTTTCCAGTCTTCCATTTTATTTTGTCTTTTTACTTGATGTAGCGATATGAGCTGTGGCAACTCGGACTATTATGCAGCAATGCCTGATTGTATGTTGACATTGATGATGGTCTCCTATGCATACCCCTCGATACTGCTGTGATATTCATTATGCTTCCGTACATTTGATGGCCAGGAGGGGAATCCACAACGTACGTTTCGTCAAACTTGGGACTTTGTCAGCTGGATGTGCCTGCTCCTCAGTGATTGCCGTTGTTCCCACTCAGACTTGAACCGAGTACTCATTTCTTCGAACGTTGAAGCGTTATACTAGGCTACTGTGGTATGACAGTCAACTCGGGTACAATGTGTATCAGTCGTCTGGGCCATCGCAGACGATCCTAAGATATCTGTTTTCTTGTGGATTTCAGCTTAGAAATTAGGATTTTTCTTTCATAACTGAAAACAGCAATCAAAGGCTTAGTGGAATAGTGCCATATTTTAGTTGGTATACTTTACCCTCATCCAAACTCATCCTGTTACACATTAAGGTGTATGATGACTCGGATTTGTGATAGAGGCGTGCTCATGAAGACTTAAAATATTGTCAACTGTTTAGTTTTTCTTACTTACAACCTTATGTTCAGCATCATCATTGCCTATTTAGTAGTTGTATAATACACGGTTAATGTTACTGCCATGTAGTAGAAAACAGTGAACTGCTGTATAGTACATTTCTTTTTAGTCAGCATTCAATATCACATCAATACTATGAAATCGTAAAAATTGATACATTTCGATAGAGATTTTTTCCTCCATGCAGAGATTTCTCAGTCATCCTCTTGGGAAGTAATCAACGTGTTCATTCTTTTCATTTCCTACTGTCAGACAGAGTACCGCAATACAAACCAATCCTGAAGCAACAAATTTGCATTCATGGAGTGAAAAATTTATCTTAAACCTTCTTAAATTGTCACATGAATTGTCCAGAAGCTTCTCTGTATTGTGATTGTCTTCAGTTGCATATCTCTGTATGAAATCTTAACTCATTATACTTTTGCATATATATATATATATATATATATATATATATATATATATATATATATACATGTATTGGTTTATACTACTGTTGCTAATTACTTTTCATGTGGTGTTATTTCTTCCAAGTTAGTTTTAATCCTTACAATATGCCTGGAATCTTGACTAGTTTAATATTCGGTGTACGATTCACAACTATTCTAACAGCCACATTATTACTACCATTATTATTATTTATCCCTTGCGTTCCTAGTAGAACATACGGCTTCAGTAACACGTCTCCATTACACTCTCTTCTCTGCAATCTTTCCAACCTGGCTCCATGACTGCCCACAACCTCTCATTTCTTCCTCACACGACCTCCTTCATGTCACCCTCACCTCCGACGCCCAACTTGTCGTTTCACATCTGGGTTCCACTCGAGTGCCTGGCCTGTCGCGTGATGTCTCCGAATGATCTTCTCAGTGCATGCCCAATCCATCTCCATTTCCTTCTGCATATAGGTTCTCGCTTCGTTGGTTCGTTGCTAGCCAGTCAGCTAGAGTTCCTTGTTGCTTATTCTTTCTGGCCATCCATCTGATCTTCAGTATCAAGTGAGTGTAGGGAGTTGTTGATGAATGTCTGTAGTTTGTTTGAAATGCTTTTCGTAACGCGCCAGTTCTCTGAACCATCACACAGAAGCAGTGACTTGACTGGATTGCTGTTGAAAATCCGGATGTTGTTCACGCTTTATGGTGAGTGCAGAAGATCTCTACACTGATTTCAGAGTAGTGAAAGCCTGTCTTTCTGTCTTTCCGATCCTGGCTGGCTTTGACGTTCTCATCTGTGTCTCTGCCGCCTGTAGTTGAAACGATTCTGGTGAAAGAGACTACTTCCTTTAAGTTTCTCCGTTGATGGTGATTGGCGCTTGCTGTTGATGCTGTTGTTGGTTAAGTGTCGTTATCACTTTTGTCTTTACATTCACTTGAAGTCCCGTCTTCGCTGCCTTGCCTCTTCTGTCAACTTGTTAGTTTTCGCCTCTAGACCTTCGAGTTTGTGTGACATAAGACACAAGTCATCACTGGCGAAATCCAAATCTTCTAAGATCTTTTCCCCTGTCCAGCGTCTGTCCATCTTCTCGCTGTTCACTGTTTGCTGCATGGTCCAGTCGACCACAATCAGGAAGATCATGGTTAGTTCTCTTCCTGTGTTATCCGCTCCCAGTTTGGCATTCATGTCACCCATTAGAATTTTGATGTCGCCATCTGCTGTGGGGTCTTGTCCAGTACTGATCGCAGTTGTCTGTAGAATTCCTCCTTCTTCTCTTCATCTGCTTTATTTGTAGGTGCGTAGCATTGCATGATTGTGACTTTCCTTCCTTTTGAGTTGAACCTTGCTGTCATGATCCTGATCGTTGAGGAGATTGGTTCCCATTGTATGAGAGCCTTCGATACTCTTGGGGTTATCATGATAGCCATACCAGAACACAGTGTGCTCGTGATTGTCGTGTGGGTGACAATGCCGGCGTAGATTATTGAGTCTGCATTTGGCAGTTCGGAGAGTCCACTTCCATTCCACCTGACTTCACAGATTCCAAGCACTTGTATGCTATACCTTCTCATCTCCTTGGGAATCTGGTCAGTCTTGCTAGGTTCATACATGTATGGCGTGGACCTTCCATGTCCCCATGTTAACTTTCGCTTCCATGGAGAGAAGTGAAGACACATTGACCAATTGGCTTCCCGAAAGCTTTCACCAACCGGCGTGATTTCGTCTCCCCGATTCCAGTGAGGAATAAGTTTAAATTTCTGTTTTATATTTTCTTTGTGGTTTGAGGTTGGTTAGCGGTTGGATTGGTTTTCCAGGGTAGGGTTGCTAGCCCTATGTCCAACCTTCCCTCTTTATCCGGGCTTAGGACCTGTTAGTAACTAGTGAACTAGTTAACCAGGAGAGGTTAACAGCCATATTAAACTACTATTTTCCCTTTCTTGCTAGTTTCTTATATCTTACCTAATTAGTTGGTTGGTCAACTCTGAGGTTTACTTTTTTCTTACGATTACTATACTTACTTATTTACTCACTGAATTCGCATAGTTGAAATCATTTTTCTATGCAATAATTTCAGGTTTTGGTCGAAGCTGATGATTCTATGGTGCGTATAGAAGAAGTCGTTGGTGAAGATGGTGCACCAGATTTAAGTATTTTCTTTGATCGTGAAAAGCTGCTGACTGTAGCTCGTCCAGCAATTGGTGACTTTCTGAAAAAACTGCAAGTAAGGATATTTGTATAAAACATTGATAATTTTATGTAAGATGCGATCCAGTATAACGGAGAATTACAAGTATCAGAAAAAATAATAATAACGGATACTCGTTGCAAAAAATACACTGCGTAGCAGTTCCATTTCTCCTACTACATATTTGAGACGACTAATAAAATCGCAATATGTGAAAAGGTTATCGGTGAGTTTGTAGCACTGCTTAGGTATTTAGGAAGATGTGTATGAAGGATGGTGAGATTATGACTGGAGTACTAGACAAGGAAGGCAAATTAATCAATGGCTCTGTGGTCCTTTACTAACTAAGGTGACTTGGATATATGTTGTGCATGCTGATTTGGCTAGAAGAAATAAATTCTTAGGGTGACCAGATCAAGATGTTACACCACTCCATGAAGTCTGCGACTGTCTGTCTGAGCTGTATTCCTGAAGTGTTGACTACCTGGTTAGTGTCTACGAGATGAAAGGAGTCAGTGATTAAGGATTGTTGATGACATGGCTGGAAATTGGTCACAATGGAGCAGATGTTTTCTCTCGTTTTCTCGTTCTACCCCCTTTTTTGCTTTGTAAGTTGCTGTAAAGTGTGGCAACTTGAACTGATGCATTTTTGTGTTAGGTCCTTTGATGATTTGTCTGTCTGTCAGCCAGCCTATTTATCTATCAAGATGGATACTAAATGAAATAAAACTGTTGATACGGCGACCACCTATCGTTCATTCGTGAATTCTGATTAGCACATACTTTTATGAAGCGAGGATGATTTATTAATGATGAGGTATCCTAAATCATGGGAGAGCCAATACCTTATTCGAATGATTTGAAAATACTTTTCACCTCAAGTCTATGCCAGTCATGAAACTACTTAAAATTACTGGGCGTTGAACAACAGTTTCATCCTAGTCTGAAACTTTACAGTACTGTAGACCAACATGCTCACATGGAGTCGAACCCAAGACAGTCAAATTAAATTAGAATGTTATAGTCCACACTTCTCAAATTCAGTCACAATTTGCAATTATTTGACATTATCATTGATGTATGTATAAGCTGAAATTATTGTTGTTATAGAGGGGATACCATCCCTAACTTTTAATCTTAGTATGATTTCCACTTTTTTTTGTTGTTACAGTATTACAAAAGTACTGCCAATGCCAAAGATGGTTGTGCTTTCTTTCAACATTACAGTCAATTATTACCAGATCATATGAAATTGCGTAAAATTGTAATTGATCGTAAAAAGCCACGACCAATTTTTGTTCAAGTTGGACTTCGTCAATCGCCCAATGATGATGTTGAGTTGATCACATATCCTACTACCTATCCTGGTGTAATACAATCTTTCATCGATCGTTATAATGATCTACCTGTAGGACAGAAAGCACTTGATGCTCTAGAAATAATTTGGCGAAGAGAAAAACCTTATTTTGAGGAAATTCCACTTTGATAAACTATAGTTTGTATGTCGAATAATTTCTTTGGGTTTGAAATATGCTATTATTCTTTGTCCGATTGTGTTGATATACCCAATAAACTTTTGATGTAATCATCTTCATTGTCTCTTTAGATATATATCGTTGTGTTATTCATTCTTCTAGATACTTTGACAACCTAAATGGTAGAAGAGTACACTTCTCAACTGAAAGCAAAAATAAGTCAGAACAGTTGTATACAGGAGATTTGATCTTGTCTGAGAATATGAAAAAGCTTTGAAAAATATGGGAAAACTGATGAGTGACATTAAACGCCACTCTAACAACTGGTGATATAACCAGTTACATTTCTTTATTTTATGTAAAACTACCTTCTCAGCCAAAATACTGAAACCTGATTGGTTATTTCAACAGTTGCTAGGGTGACCTTTAAGGTTACCCAAAATGATTTGATGGCGTTGGAAAAAATGCAAAAACAGTCATTTCAAATTTATAAAAGTCAAGATGATTTGTGTTAAGGTAAATATTAGGGGTTCTTAAAACTTCCCCCCCCCCTCTTTCTTTCCATCAGATTGGAAGTGTGCTGTTTCCCATCGTTTATGTGACTATCTTCAAGAAAGTACCGCTCTTGTTATGGAGCAGTGTTTCCTGGAATTTGTTCATTAACTCTATTTGCACACAGTTTATGGGATATGTTGGGAAGAATGTCAAGAGGTGGTGTATTGCACGATAGTTTTTGTTTCGGTCATCCTTTCGAAAGTAAATCATATCCGCCTATCTAATGTAGTCGCTATGTCGTGCTTAACACTACGTTATTTACAGCTGATCAAGCCATCCGTTACAATGGTGATCACTTTGATGGATTTTAGTTGAACGGAGGTAATCTGCAGGAAACTCTGGGCCTAGGTTTCGTGTTTGTTGGCACTCGTCAACAAGGGGTATCTACAACCTCGACGGGACTGATGTCCCAACTGATATTCGAACCCATACCACCCAGTTCTGCGGTCACAGACGTTACCACTGAGCTATTCGGGACCGATGATGGGATTTTGATCATTGACAAGATGCATGCTAAAGCTGGCATGTATGGGTCTTTGTATTTAATTCTACAAGCATAAAAGAAGAGAGCTGTGAATAAGAAGGGTATTCAGTGTCCGCCTAAATGGTTTTTTCCAGTTATCTACATGAATTCATATGCCTGTTAATGAAAGTGTCAGATAGTAGAGTGGGAGGTGCATCGCTAATTCTGTTTAAAACCTTGAAAGTTCTATTCAGTGTGACATGGTCTTTTTTTTATAGCAGCCTAGAAACTAATATTTTGCAAGAGTATAGCCTGAGTTATACCAAAACGTTTCAGCTGCTTGATGTAATATGTCAAACCGACAAAGATTCGAAAAAAACGCATTCGAAGGTAAAACTCGATTTATTTTCTGCAATATTGCTGTCAGTTTTGAGAAAGTGGTAAAACTGAAGCAGTTCATAACTTTACCTGGTGGTCGGGTTTGCATATCCCGACGAGCTATGCTGGTGAAAAACGTGTCCCCTCGAGGTCCTACCATGCTAGAAAAGTCTGTTGGGTAGTGGTTCGACGAAAAGCAGTTCCGTTGTAGTGTAAATCACAACACTATGATGGGAATCTGAGGGAGAAGTCGTACTGCTGTTAGCTGGATGGGGTATGACAGCAGTAAGGTGTTTCCCCTGGATGACCAGCAGTGCTATACTGATGCTGTCTTCTCAGTGGAGGCGAGGTGGGGGGGTTGGGAAAGGTCGGCTCCAAAATAGCATACTCTGCGGCATACCGATGCCTGTGACAGGGATTCGTGGTCAGATTCGAAAAAGAATCTCAAACTTGCCAGAAGGTCGGGTGTGATGGGCCTTCAGCAAATGTCCCTTGGACTGTGCGGTGACACACTATCCCTTCTTTTTCAGGTACCTCAAATAGAACTGGCCTAACATAGTATGGGTAGCCGGAAAGTGTCAAACATCCGCACGCTCCCAGTGTTTGATGAAAGTTCCTATTCACTTTTGAGATTAAATTTAGCGGTCTGATATTGAGTAAGATTCAGCCTAACACCATTTTAGAAAGACTACTGGTCAATGCTAGATAGGAAACTATTAGTTTGAAAGTAATCTATTAAGGAAACAGCTAGCACACAAAATGTCAGGTTATCGGTATATTTCAGGAAATTAGTCTTAGCCTGGTACGGCAAGTCATGCATAAGAAAAGTTGAGCATGCTGAAGTACACTGGTTTCAGTAAACTATAGATTGAAGTATTTCTCTTTTATGTAGAGTGTCCACTTCCTTTCAGAAATAATAAGAATACAGACATTATGACCTAGGGCTCAGTCTATGTCATAATAGTCTTACTTGACAAGGGTAGTTTAGGTACAAGACCAAAAAGAAATCAGAAATGTAAGTAGACATATTTGTCAAGACTGGAAAAAATGTTATGACAGGGGTAGCATTCTAAATACATTTTAGACAACTGAATACTGATTCAAGTTTAAGTAGAAGTAGGTGATTCATTGTGTTTAAAGTAGACGGATAATGCGATTCGATTTAAATTCCTAACTCGATCGAGATGACAAATTTAGCTCTGGTACAATTTTCATCCAAGCATATTTTTTGAGAACGATGCATGAAATACTAACTCATTTTAAAAGTATAATGCTGAATGTATCAAGAGATGAGCTTTGAAATAGATATCAGGCACCTGGAAAAATTTTCGGTGTTAAGACCTCGGAAATAACGTTTCTTTAGACTTGAAACGTAATATTAGCTTGCTGACGTATGTGCAATCAGTTTAGAGCACAGATATCAGAATAAACTTCATTATTTATCTCTTTTTATCAACGATTCCTTTAAGTAGCTGCCATATTTTGTCAGAACTGTTACGTAATCGATTACTATTATTGATTATTTGTCCCTTGGGTTCCTAGTGGGAACATACGGTTTCAGTAGCACGTCTCTATTACACTCTGTTCTCTGCAGTCTTCTGAAGCTAGCTCTACTACTGCCCACAAGCCTTCATTTCTTCCTCACACGATCTCCTTCGTGTCACCCTCACCTCGGACGCCCAACTTGCCGTTTTTTATCTAGCTTCCTTTCGAATGCCTGGCCTGTCGCGTGATGTCCCCAAACGGTCTTCTCCGTATATGTCCAATTTAATCCATCTCCATCTTCTGTTATATATCATGTTGAAGCTGGTTGGGAAGGAGCCTTATTGGTAAACATTCAATTCCTTCCAGTGCCTTATTACTTTTTGTCACTTAATGGTTCGTTTCTGTGGATAGTAAATACTGTAGTGGACGTAAGTCCACTTGTGGCGCATCACACAGCAGGTGCTAAACGACCATGAAACTTAGGGGTTAGAATGCACAAGTTATGTACTAGTAAAGACTGGGTCTGGAAATTGTTTCAGGTCATTCGAGTCACCGACATTAAGAAACCTGATATCAATGAAGCAGTCTGTCAGCCTATGTGGTATTGTGGTCAACAACCTTCAAAGACGGAATATTGCTGTCCTGTTTGGTGTATTTTTTTGAGGTGAATAAGTATCTTACCATTCGTCTTTAGTTATCTCAATCTGCATCGATTTTAGTGGTTCAGAGTAGCAGTTAAATTACGTTCCATATGACTAGACACACACTCAAAAGCCCAGTCAAATTCATCGGTTTGTACTTTTCAGCGATACCAGAAGGTCACTTAGTTGAAAAAATAATTCATCGTTGGCTGCATTCATGCTGCACTCTTTCGAAACATTGGTGAAGATGATGATGAGGTATAGTCTACTCTTTGTGTTACTACTTGTAACTGATCGTTCTAGAATGACAGCAGAAATACAACTGTTATCGATGGTCAACCGACGAGGAGCATATTCGATACTAGTGTATGACAGAACACCGATGACAGTAAGATCTCATCTTTTAATAAGCTGACAGATGAGAACTTTATTCGGAGAATTCCATGGAAATCCTGCACAGATCTTTCAAAAACTTCTAGTTGAATATGTTCCCTATTCCGTCTACATCAAGATGCGAAAAATACATGTAATTTTAAAACAGCTGGCTAAGATATTTCACAGAAAGAATTTTTACTGAAAGTTACCACTTAATGGGTGGGCTTAGTATAAGCAGATCAGAATTCCCAACACTAATGGACAGCTGATAGAGAAAAGTAACAACGATACAGTCTATCTGTAAATATACATATATAAGCAAAACAAAACGACTATTCAGAGAATTTACCAAAAGGAATCGAAAAGATTAGATAAGTGCCGTAATACTTACTTCCTTATCGGACACCCACGGAAGAAGAATTAAGACGTTTCCTTAACAGTTAAAGCATCATAGTGTTCTTCAAGTTGACGACCAGTCTGCTATTACCTATCCAAATTTTAAAAAAAACCTGATTCCCCATTTGAAACAAGAGAACTGTGCTTATATGGTAGAATGTCGTGAGTTCGATGCCAATTAAATTGGACAGACATCATGTCAAGTATTTACACATCTAAATGAACACAGTTGAGTTTGTAAGCAGCAACTTGAAAAAGGCTCTGCCATCGCAATTCAGTCTAATATTCATTTGAAAAGGCAAAAGTTTTATAAAAGGGTTTTCTTTTTCACTAAGAGTGGGCTATTGAAGAAGTTTCGCATATCTCTGTAGCCATCTGAGGTCAAGAGAAAAGCTGGATCGCAAATCCTACAAATCTGACAATCATTAGAGATTGGCATAGAAGTCCCAAAAAACACAAGGAGAAGATCTAACACAATTTTATTGCAGACTGCTTCACATGGTTTATTCCGAACATGTTCGTCTTTATTAAGTATTAATTTATTCTTATTCCCTGCTGATGACACAACTCCATTGTACACTTCATAGTCACACTAAATCGTTCATCCATTTTTGTACTACCTCACTTGTACAACTTGAGTAAGTTTCTTTGACCGATGTATTAAATCCCTCACCTAAATTTATATTGACTTTTATTCTTTATCATGATCGAGTTGAATGATCTAAAGGTCATCTTCTGCACCAAACTTGAATGTTAACCTGAAAACTTAATATCAGACTCATCCTCTTGACGAATG